TGTCATCCCAAACTCTCAAAGTGCCAGACATGTTCTCTGGTCTCCAGCCCTGCACTTGTGAGATTGACCTTCTAGCCAGTTGGGGCAGAGCACACTAGCCTTGGGCCTTGCTGCTTAAAAGGAGGGGCAATTAGATGACTTTTCTGGGCCCCCATTTGTTTGAACTGGTCCTGGGACTGGAAGGCAGGAACTCACTAGTTCTAATCCTGCCCCTGATGATGGTTACTCTTTGGCACTGGAGTTGCTGAATTGCTCTGCTTCACTTCCTCTGTGTAAAGGGAGACTAATCCTGACCAGTTTTACTGGGCTGTTGAAGATTGAGGTCCATAAAGAGCTTTTGGAGATGCAGAGCAGTGAGTCTTGTTTCCTTTCTGCCTGGAAGCAGTGTTGGGATCCACCTGTCCCCTTGGAGAGATGTTGTGCAATTCCCATCACCTGGTGGGGCATCCGAAAGTAGAAATTATTAGCAAAGTGCAACCCGTGGAGTAACTATTACATAAAACAGAGCCTGCCATGAGGATTAGCTAGATCTCTAGGTGCTGGGAAGGCAGGCTGTGGCCTGTACAAGAAACCCTAGAATCTCCTTTAGAAAGGCTTTTTCTCCAAAGCTCTGGACTCTTGTAGTCAAGGTTACTTGCTCGATGTGGAGCTGTTTCTTAAAAGGCCCCCAGTACAGACTGATGGAGATGTTGCCTTCCCAGTCATTCTGCCTCCCTGCTTCTCATCACTGCCCTCTCTAGAATATTTCTTTAAATGGGACATAAGGCAGTCTGTATTTCTGTTGTGGTAGCACCTGAGTATTGTAAATGGGGATTGTGGTCCAATTGTACTAGCCACTGTGAAAACAGATCAGAATCCCTGCCTTGGTATCTAGTGGTGCAGTCTACATAGCCAGTTAAAGTCCAGAAACCTCCAATTTCCACCTGTCCTGCAGGAACAAAGTATCAGAACAGGAGCTCACTGGAACTCAACATAAAATGTGGTTTGTTTGGCTGAATGTTGGTCGCTGTTCTAGTAATTTACATGGATGTATGGTCCCAAAGAGTCAAAGGTGTTAACCTAGCCCAGTCACTGCCCAACAGTAAACCTTTTTAAACAAGGTCTGGGGTTTGGCATACAGAGACCTCCGCCTGCTTAGTATCATGGCAAATGCACCATTAAAAATCCTTTAACTTTTTATTAAAAGATTCAGAAAAGAATGAAAGACCATTACAGCATTTGAAATGTAAAGTTTTAAGGCCTTCTTTTTCCCTTTTAGCTGGAAAGTTTTTAGCAGGATTTCTCCTCCCCTCTTGTCCGACAGTCTCTTAGATTGTATCAAAAATAACTGTCCTTTCTGGGGAGAAGAGAATAAGTTAGTTGAGGTGGTTTGGAGCTGTTGCTGTTTAAGTCTAATCCTGCTTCTTTTGAGACAAAACAAGATGAACACAAGAGGGAGAGAACCGCAAAGAGAGACAATAGAGCTTTGGTCTCTAGTTTTGACTCTCTTATTTGCAACCTGGATGCTGGAAAAACACAGGCACAGCACACGGTTCTATCAGCACTGAGACCTGGCAAACTTGTACTGGCATTGAGCTGCTTGGGGTATTACTTTTAGCTGCCTCTTTCTGGTTACTGGCTTATAGCATTGTTGCCAGATATGCAGTCATGGCCAGATACGCCAGATGCTTATTAGACAGAAGGGAAAAAAGAGAGAAGATAGGGAAGGAAAAGAGTACCAAGTGGTGGTGCTGAGGCCAAGTCTCATATCCCAGATGTCATCTGGGTCCCACTCTGTGGCCTGGTCAGGTCAGGACCTCTCTCAGGATCAGGATGAGGCGGCCTGGAGTCTCCGGAGATGGTAGGGGTGGCAGCCCTGATGGTGAAGCTTGCTCCAGTAGCCAATTTTTCCTCCCCAAAGTATCTTTCTTTGAGGACCCCAAAAGGGAGTGATGGGTGGAATAGCCCATTCCCAAGTTATTCTGTCAACCAATTAGGCCTAATATCTGACACCAATTTTGGTGCATTTTTCTTGTTACTAGGCATGATCTTAACACAGTCCTTAAATTATAGTTGTGGGGCTTTTTTTTGTTTGTTTGTTTGTTTGGACTAGTTAGTCTGTCCTTTACACCTTTTCCAATCAGCATTTGTTGTGATGTGATGAAGTTTCACTCACTTCTCACAGCTGAGCTCACAATCAGGGCAAATTTGCAGGCTGAATTATTACAACATAGTCCTTCTAAGTGTATACATCCGAACAACTTGAGTAGCGTGATGGAAGCTTCCATTACCTCTCTGAATGGGGGAAAATCCTTTCATTTGGAATGCTGCTTTTGCTAACGTGAGACTATTGGTGTCTAGGAAAGGTTTTTATTTCTCAGTTATGGCCCTCCCTTCTATTTGATTATGCACTGAGAATTTGGGACTGTAATTATTTTGAAAACAATTCAAGATGATGGGATATGAGCTCAGTTTATTCACACATTTGCCCTGACTGGCAAGTAAACAGAAAAATCTAGACATGATAGATCATTGTATTCATCTCCTTCTGTCCCAGAGTTTCTCCCTAAACTGGGATGTTTTTTTCTTCTTGGGGTGTCCGTAGGAGCCCAGGCAGCCTGCGTTCCAGCAGCCGCAGTATGGACCTTGCCACTATGAGATGAAGCAGTTCTTGGACTGTGCTACCAATCAGAGTGACTTGACCTTGTGTGAAGGTTTCAGCGAGGCACTGAAGCAGTGCAAATATAATAATGGTGAGTTTTTTTGCTTGGTTTTGCTGCAGGGTGCAGAGATGGGCAGCTATGAAGTCTGGGACTGATGAGCTAATGTTTGAAAGAGTAGTGTGGTAGGGCTCTGAGCTTTCGAACAGCAGCTTGTTAATAGTTCCTCCTAAAGAAACCAAACCCTCTAAATGTGGAAGAGGTCGCTGTCCTTGTCTTTGAAGTAACTCCAAAGTCTCTCATCTCTGCCATTTCAGTAATGTAGTCCTCTCCATAAAGATGCTCAGGAATCATGGAAAGGGGAAGAGGGACACTTTGGTCCATGTCTTAGCAGAATGAAAATGGTGTTCCCGATAGTGGGCGTGGAGATCGCTTTTTAGGGGTTGGCTGCTCTATTGCCATGTTCCTTTGGGGAGCCTACTCCTTTCCCAGAGCACTGCCAGCCAGTTCCCTTGTTTCTTGCCCATTTGCTGGGGGAGAAGGGTTCCCTTCTCCTGGAGCAACATGCTAAATAAATGAAGTGATGAGTAGACAAAACCCCCTTTTGTGCTTGGTTGAACTGGTACCCCTGTTTGCACGTTCTGGCTAATCATGGGGCATTCACCTCACTCAGGCATTTGACATATGAGGATCCTTTCTGCCTAATGTTGAACTTGAGCTTCTCCAACCTCTCCTATTGTAGGTGTCTCCTCCCTCTTGTGAAGACATTCAGCGCTAACACAGGGAAACAGGAGCCTGGAGTACAGACAAGAACGGAAGAGACTAGAAGGAATAGCTAGTGACCAAAGTAACCAGGTGAAGGGAATGATAGTCCGACCAGCGGAAAGAACCACTTAGTGCTAACATGCTTCTATAATTGCCAGGAAAGAACAATGGTTGGAATTTGATTGGGCTTTTAGAATCCAGATCTCGTTTGATTTGCTATAGTGAAATATGTAATAAAAGGAGATGGTTTATTTTAATCTATGAATAGTTTGTATGTTGTTTCTTACTGTAGATTAAACTGCAGGATGTCATTCTAATCTCTGAATGTGTTTTCTTCATCTCCTCCCCAAACAAGGGGAGCGGAATAACTAAAATCCATGTAGCTGGATGACTCAGCAAAACCAAACAAGGCCAGGCCTGGATTTCCTCTCACAGGACACGTATACGACCCCCTGCTGTATTACTTTTATCTGCTCAGAAGGCCAGAGCAGAGATAATTTTTAAGAGCACTGCCCTGCAAGTGCTTCATTGACTAGGATTCTTGTAAATCTCAATATCCTCTCCGCTCATGGACATGACTGGGACAGAGGCGTGGAAGGAAAAATGTGACCTGGTCAATTGGCTGACTAAGAACACAGCTGGCTGATCTTATTTTGGGTCTTAGTGGGTTAAGTAATATGCTGAAAGTCATTAGCATCAGGTTAAGTTCACTGGTGCCACATGCAGCTTTAACATTGGACTAGGAGCTGCAAGGCTTCACCTAACAAAATCAGGTACAACTAGTCAGTAATTGAAATGCATTTGACACTCCACACAGACCTGGCTCTGCAGAAAGCCAACATTTTCAGTTTTATGGACTGTGGAGCAACTCCGATTACCTTGGCACAAGTGAAACTGACACTAACAGTCAGCAGGCTTCAGCTGGAAGGAATGTAGCTGCTGTGTGACCAGCAAAAGAATGCTTTGCATACTAATGTTGATTTTCTTTACAGATGGATAAAATCTCTTAACTCTTGGTTATTTTAGTTGTCATAGCTTTCTAGCTGCTGCTGAACACCGGACAGTATTGTCTGAATCTTATTCCTTGTATGGATTTGTAAGGCAGACAGTGGCTGGAAACAATCTATGCTGGTGCAGTTCTGTTACTCTTTGCTGTTTAGCAAAACGGGGAAGCTGTATTTATCCTCTAAAACTAACAAAACGGTGGATATACCCCAGTCGTGTAATGTAAGCCTCTTCTTTCTCCCCTCTTCCCCCCCCCCCCCAAACTTCATGACCTTAACTTTTTGGCAGTGGTTATTGTCTCCTGAACGATGCATGGCTTGCAGTCAGACTGCCCTGTGCAGTGTCCTGGGAGAGACTGCTAAGGAAAATCTAAGTGCAAAGGACACTCTGAAGTCTTGCTGCTTTGTGAATAAAGGGTGAGTTTCTGATTTCGGGAACACCAATATAAACCTGGAATAACTAATGAGTCAGAGCTACTCCAAACATATAGTGAAAATGAGATCAAAATTGGACCAGTGTTTGCACATCTGCTAAAGCATCTGTGAAAGAAACCCAGTTCCCCGCTGAACAAAACTGCATTTCCCACAATCCTTTAAACTACTGTTTTTATTCTATGTATTCAGTATTTTATGAATTACATTCTAGTCTGGTTCATAAAATATTCCTCCAGGAGCCATTTTCCCTTATCAGTCAAAAAAACCAACTGTACAACGAGAACCTGTTCGGATTGAGGCAGGAGACATTGGAACTGAGCTTTCAGAAAGGCCACTTCCAGAGCAGTTACTGTGAAAGACACGGAGATTCCTGGCTGGCTGCCTTGCAAAGATTCCATATCAGACTTGCTCAGTCTCCAAGACTATATTTTCTCTTTGATAGCCAGCCCTACAAACTCAACCTACAATTGAAAGTCAAGCTGAATGTTGTTTTTTTTTTTTTTTTTTCTTGGATTATGCATGATCAGGCATAAAGAGCCTCTCATTGGAATGTAAATAATGCTTTTGATGAAGCAGACAGAATACACTCCACTTTGCTCTCCCATACCTAGGGTGGTGGGAACAGGAATAAAGTAATACACATTTATCTCTCACTAATGTCAATAGTTTTTTAAATGTCCCAGTTGCCCTTAGCGTGAGGAGGGGAGATGAATTTACAGTGCAGGAGAAAGGGCTTGCAGCAAGTAGGCGTGAGAACACTGATGCATCACAAAGTTCCCCTAGTTCTAGTAGGGGTTGTTAGAAGGTGTTCCCATTGTACACTTCATTGGGAACTAACTAACTTGGGTTGGGTTGTGACTGACTAACTATAGATGGGGCATCTTCTTGCAGAAGAGACCTGCTCTGTGTGGCAGGCACTAGTACCAAAAGTAAGTCTATACTACAATAGTCTGTTACCCCTGATAGGTCTAAACTCTTTCAGAGGGTGGCATGAGCCTAACTAGCCTTCCATTTAAAAAGGTTCCAGGGGGGTCTCTGATTATGGCTCAGTCTGGCTGTGAGGAGGATGCAGTGTGCTGCTTATAAAGCAGTGACCTTTTGCATCCTGCCCTACAGTTTGACTACACCTGGCTGGCTGTCTTTGACCCTGTGTGGGGTCTCTGGAAGATGCTTCCAAACTGCTGGAGGCCTTGTTTCCCGCAAGGGATGATACCCTACCTAGGTGGGCCTGCTGGAGAGAGCAGAGCCTTTCTTACTCTGCTGTGTGCTTCTGACTTTGGCTGGGGAGCCCAGGAGTGGTTCCTTAAGTGGGCGACACTTTCTCTGCATGGAACTCCTCCTTGTGTTGTCCTTCAGCTGAGGGTGTGCTGATAACTTCTGCAGCCGCTCTGGGAAACAAACCCAGAAACCCGCTGTTAGCTGGCAGAATCCTAGCAAGAAACTGTTTCCTTCCTTTGTTTATATGGCAATAGAAAGAGTGATGAAGTCTAGTGGCCTGAGCCCAGGATTAGGAGACAGGAACTCCTGTGTTTTCTAATCCCTGCTCTGACCATTCGTCTCTCTTTATCCTAATGTAAAACACTTCATCCCTCTGCCTCTGTTGTCCCATGCAGGAAATGGGGTTGGTAACTTACCCACCAACCCTGGATGTAATGAGGATTAGTAAGACAATGTTTGCAGAACTCTGAAGATGGGAAAACTGCATGCCTAGTATGATGGGAAATACTTTCTGGCTTAAGCTAAACATACACATTTTGGCTTTTTGTTAGTTTTGTTGCTTTTTTCATATATGTTCCTTGGATCTTTTGTTCCTTTAGCCAGAGCAACAACACTTTTTGGCCAAGTCAGTTCTGGGAAAAGTCACAATCAAACCTCAGGCCAAATTCTGCACAAGGGGTATGAAATACAGGGGCTCATGAGGGTGCATGGGGCAGGGATTTGACTGACAATGTTTGATGTTACACATCTATATCATTGGTCTCCCTATGGTGATTTGATGTACTGGGAGCCCAGCTCTCACCTGCCAGCTCAGGGTGGTGTTTTCCCAGGTTCTCCAGTAGAGATTCGTAGTAAGTTGATTCTGAGCCTTCTCCTCCTGCCAACAGAATTAGCAGAACTATGCTCCTTCATTTCATAGCCTGGAAAAAATTACTGGGCCATCAGACCTGCTTTAGCTTGGGTAGTTCTGCCAAGTCACTTCAAGAAAAAGTAATTGTTTCATGCTAGCATGGCACTTGGTGTCAGGAGTTTGTCAGGATACAGTTGCCGCATGGTTTCTATCTATCCACCTACCTACATCCATACATTATTTTGCAGTGTCCATTTGCAATGGATGCTGATAATTTCCTTTGTTTGCTTGTACCTTTGCTCTCGTGTGCTTTTCATTCATTTCCATACAGTAGGATGGATAGCCCACTAACTTCGTTCATGTACCTTTGTTTAGAACGAACAAAATCCCAGAGAAGGAAGGAGTGGGGATCCTTTCCTATAATGGGGGACGTTGCCCTGGAGGGAGCACAGTAGCATTCTCAATCCACAGAAGGACTTGGCAAGTAACTTACGAATGACTCTGATGAGGATGTAGCACTGTCTCTCCTGTAGATATTTACTGGCCAGCTCAGATGCAGGACTTTCCACTTCGCTCAGGTTCATCAGGGTCCCTGATTCATCTAGAAGATCAATGCAATCTGGAGAGAGAGATTGGATTAAGAAGTTCCTATGTACCCATAATTCTACAATTCCTACAGAGTTAGGGCTGGTTTATCTACACAGGGTGACTCAGGAAAGTGACTTAAACCAAATTAAGGTCACTTTAATTCTGAATAAGTGTGTCCACACAAACATCTAATGCAGTTTACCTAATCCAGTTTAAATTCTCAGCTTTAGTTCATTTGGATTAACTTTCCTGAGTGTCCAGTGCAGCCCTTGGCTGCATCTGCACTGTCCAGGACCGGTGTGGAGCTACTCCCATTTGGCACAGCCAGGGAGAGACTCAACCTTGACAAGTGACCTGGTTACAGAGACATGAAATTCACTTGCCTCCTCTGGTATGCGGTGGTTATGCCCCCATGTTTTGTAACATCACTATTTTTAGGTCACTAAAACACCCAGCAAACCATTACAGTCTGTCTAGTTTGTCTATTGCTTAGTAAAGGACTTTGGGATCCCAAGGAGCTCTATAAATGTATTTTCCAGTGTATTATCTTTAGTATGTTACACCGATCACAAAGTTTATGACCCTTTATGAGACAGGACAGAGAAATATGTCATCTGCTCCACCCCCTCTTTTTTGCGATTCAGTCTGACCCCCTTAATCCCAGTTTAACCCATTTTTCACCTTTCCGCCAGCTCCCTCATCATGTCTGATACTCTAAGACCATCTGTGTCCGTCCATCAGGCAGGTGGCCTTCACTCCTGTTAAGAGGGGGATGGAGAGACAGTACCTTCTGGCCTGCACTGGCATTTCTTCTTCAGATGCGCGGTGAGGCTCAGGACCCGGCAGTGCACGTTCACAATCTCTTGGCAGTCAGCTGTGAAGCAGGGAAAGGGAATTAGCACAGGAGGAGACAGAGATTTTCCCCAAGTTTAAGGGCTGCACAACCCAATGAGCTGAACTAGTGAAGATACAGACATTATCTGCTCATGTCAGCGAATGTGGCAGACAGAAAAGGGAGGGGAAGTTTTACTGCAGAAGGGGATGTGTCACAGCCAGACCTGGGGTGCTGCAGACCTGTGCTTCTCCTTCCCTGGTCCTTAGAACCACAATCAAACCGGACCAGGAGGCACCCAGAGTCTTCTGGTGGTTTAGGAATACGTCTCACTGCTTCATAAGATGCCTGTGGGTTCAGTTTGGTTTTTTAAACTTGGTCTCATAAAATAGAAGAAATAGGAAACTTAGGGTGTGATCGGGCTCTTCGCTTTCCCCTCTGCAAACCCGTGAATGTCACATGTGACTTGAGTTTGGGAGTCTCAGCTTAGTCACCAGGGGATATTTGCCTAA